ACAGAGAAAGAAAGACAGAAAGGGAAAGACTGGCCGTCAAACAGACAGACAGACAGACAGACAGACAGACAGACAGACAGACAGACAGACAGATAGACAGACAGACAAAGATCGACGACGATTTGCCAAAACGCTCTTTAGTCACGCGCACAAGCTCACTCCCCTAATTTACTGTAGTAGACATTTCTTCCCACGCTAGCCTTTCCAAGGGTGTGGATTATCACGGGCAATTGATCCGAACGTAGTCACAACATTGATCTCCGTGACCGAGTCAGAGAGTTTCTCCGTCCCTCGCGTCCAGGGAGTTAATCAGGCGATTTCTGGATCGTTTTCCTTCATGTGCATATGGTCGCTTTTAAGCACAAGGGGACTATCCCGAAAAAATGCTAATTTGAGAAAATCGAAGATAAAGTGTTTGCCCCATATTCAGTTTCATTAAAAGAGGAGAGTTTACTCTATAACCAAACACGATATACACACCAACGAAACCAAACGTCTCCTATAGGTAGGGCAATGCCCATTTTTTGTGTAGGTCAAGATTTCTGGAAACCCCCGAAATCTGGGTTAGCCCGCTTGTCCTTAAAAGAGACCGCAGATCTAGTGGATCGGTTATGTTAGTTTCATTCTGTGGCGGTGAGTTGCGAGACAGGTAGGCCTAATGCAAACCTAATAATGTTCGGGTAACGCAATGTATATAGTTTATGTAGGCCCTATTATTTAATTAAGAAATGATTGTTGGATTGGGGGGGGGGGGAATTCATACCCTTGAAAATTTTGATATCTATCTGTTGAACGCCCCATAACATTTCAGGAATCTATGAGCACGTTCAGATGATTTCTGGACCGTTTTCCTACCTATGCTAAATCTAGTGGGTCGGTAATGTTAGTGGTACTCTGTTGTTGTGAGTCGCGAGATAGGTAGACCCAATGCAGACCTAATAATGTTCGGGTAACGCTATGTATTGAATTACTTGAATTACTTGAATCTAGAACTGGGGTTTTAGGAAGACGGGAAGCTCCCTGCTTCCTCGCCCATCTTCATGAGGGTGCATTTCAGTTTGGCCAGGTTGATTGTCTCCATCATTAGCTGGTTGGTGTAGCGTCTGATGGGATCACGTAGCCTGCTCTTCTCACTTTCACCAACCTGCACTCCTTTTGCAATCACAACCTCCTTCGTGAAGGAGTCCTCGTCACAGCTGCTGGCTAAACGCTGTGTATATGTGGGCTCTATTATTTAAGAAATGAGTATTAGATTGACGGGAGGGGAGTTAATACCCTTGAAAATTATGATATTTGTTTGCTGAACGTCCTATAAAATTTCAGGAAATGGTGAACAAATTCAGGTGATCTCTGGACCGTTTTCCTACATCTTAATTCTAGTGGGTCGGTAATGTTAGTGGCACTGTTTAGTTGTGGTGAGTCGCGAGATAGGTAGACCAGGGGTTAATCCCCTTTCAAATGATATTATTTCATCGCTGAACGTCTTGTAAAATTTCGCTAGTTTGTAGCGAGTCAAGGGGTAAAAGTGCACCTCTTCTTTTTTTCTTTTTTTTTCCTTCTTTTTTTTAATAAGTGTTTTACGGCGGTCGCTACTGCATAAAGTCATATGAGCGCGCGGGACATATAAAAAATTTTCAGTTGGTAGTAAATTTTAAATTTTCCCCGGGTGATGCCCGAAGCCTACTCTTATCGATTTTAGACCACCAAGGGATCTTTAACGTGTGCAGCTTGCACACGGGCCCTCCGAGATTTTTCGCCCTTGTCCGAGAAGGCTATGTCTAGATCTTTCCTACCAGAAGATCAGGGGTGTGGCTGAAAGACAACTGTACGAAGGAGCCAAGGAGAAGCAGTAGAAAGGCTGCAGAAAGAGTCAAGAGCCCAGAGGAGGGGGCAAAGGAGGTGAGGGGGTGGGGGCAGAAAGACGAAACGAAAGCAGACGACAGAACATTGCTAGAGAGCATGAAAGGAGGTGAAAGGAGACAATCTTAGAAAAGAAACATTTCCGTCCCTACCAGAATTCGAACCCGAGACCTTTGAATGAGACGCCAACACCTTAACCTCTTGAACCTCTTGGCCACGTTAGCCCCCCAGATTGTCTTTTATCAACAAATACAAAAGGTTGTGTTGCAAAAAGTAGTCCATCTAAATTCATCTCATGTGATTAGTCATAACGTATGCAAAGCGACAAAACCCATAAAAATGAACGAAGTGGTTTATTTCTAACGATATATAAAATAAAGAGAAGCTTAAGTTTCTGCAACGTCGAAAAGGTTTTGTGCTCTTTGTAGGCACAACAGTGGCAGTACCACACCCACTGAAGTATTAACTGAGACACCAGTACTTGCTAACTGCGGACAATTGGGGTAGGAGGGAGGGTGAGGAGTTTGAAAAGGGGAGGGGAATGAGGGAATGGTATAAGGGTTGGGTAGGACAGGGGAAGTGGGGTGAAGGGAAGGGGACGGAAAGGGACAGG